AACTGAGATGCTCTGTATCACAAGCGGAAGCAAAACTGGGGGAACTGGGAGCCCTGGGCCACAAATGCAGTTGTTCTTTGCACTTTGGTAACTCCAATTCAAGGCAGTATTTCAGCTGAGATTTTCAGAGGGTTCTGCAGTTGATACAAACACCTAGCCTCTATGTAATCCTACTTGAACATCTTAGTCCCTTTCTGGTTTCTTTGTTCCTTATTCTAGAGGGAGCTCTGTGACTGAGAAGTGTCATATATTCCCATACAGCAACTTTAGTAATCTCTGACAGATTGATGAGCTCTCAGGGACTGGAGAGAGACAGTGTTACAAGAAAGGCCATGTTGTCCTGGGAAGAGTTTTGGTCTGAGAGAGTGAAGTGTTTGAGGAGCACATTCCATCTAACAATTCTTGAAGAGGCTTGAGTCTCCTCTCAGGTTCTTTTCAATTAAAACTTAAAAATAATAAAATCAACTAGAATGGAGATCAATGTACCATAGATACAAAACTGTCAATCTTGCCAAGAGTCTTGAAAACACCTTGGTAAGTTTTGTGGGTGGAGACTTGTGGCTTCCTCTTGAGTGGCTGGAACAGCAAAATCTTCTTCCAGGCTCAGTGTAGTAGAAGAGCAGTGCTGTAGAACTTTTAGTGTTACTGATATATTTGAGTGAGTTTATTTCTGCCTAATAATTTTTTCCCACATGCATATGTAAAAATTCCCCGTCACTAACTTGATTAGTGTGTATTATAGTAACAATTTTCAGGTTGCAACCTGTTAAAAATGCCTGAAGGCAAATTTGCTTTCCATGTAGTTTCAAGTCTCCACCCATCCTAGGAGCACGACTTTGAAGGCTTAAGCATTTTGCATTTATGGCACTTTTGCGACTGTTCTGTTTCAAGGGGATAAATGAGTGAGCAAGCTTTCAGCTACGTCTTTTGACTTATGATAACAGACTGTCCATAGAGGCAAGTAGGACTGACCTTGCTGCACTTCTCGCCTCTGAGACGGCTGCAGAGAAGAATCCAGAAGTCCTGAAGTAGGGGGAAAAATCTAATAAAGCACCGGTCCTTGAGATTAGGCCAATACAGGTCTTTAGTATGATTGCATAGTGCATAATAGAGTGTATTATTTAGTATTATGTTAGTGAACCAAACCTATCATGCATTACTGAAAACTTTCAATGTCGCCTTTCTAAGTTTCTGAATAAAACTTTTTTAGAATTTCCATTTAATAAAAATGAACTCGTGGGCTGAGATCCAAATTGAGTAAATGAGTGTGTCCTGATGGCCTGTTGAACAGCAGCAATGAACATCCTGGTTATGCAGAGAAGCACAAAACTGATAAAGAACTAAAACAGATCAAGGAAGGATATAAAATATCTCATCTCCTTTTCCCATGAGCAAAACTTCACCCCTTACCCTGAGGGGATCAGCAGGGTTGGAAGCACAATCTGCTTCATACCTCAGTTGTCAAAGTTGCACGAACTGTTGGATGGAGACCATTAGAACTAGGCAAGCCAGTCCTGGCATGAGGCCTCATCAGTAAGTAATTTCCACACTCTTTGTGTTTTGCTGTAAACCCTGACAGTGTGCTTCCACAAGTGCCTCTCTGGAGCCACAGATGGCCACTGCAGAAACCATTGCCTTTGTCTCTGTAATTTGTCTGTGTCCTTGACAATACCATCATTGCCTCTCATAGCAAGGAGGGCCACTTCTTGCTATGCCTTCCTTCTAGGTACACTTACACCTTGCTTACAGCTGGCTCACAGTGAAATAAGACATTTCTCACCAGATGGAGAATGATGCCTAGCTTTCAGGGTTTACTAGACCAATGATTGAATTTTTTTTACATTAGTGGCAAAGGTTTAGCCTAAATCACCTGTAGTTCAGTTCACCACCAAAGACATTGTCTCATTCATTATGACTTTGTCTTTAAATCAAGATTGATGCTTTCTTAAGCATAAAGTATTAATTTAAATGTTAACTGTAGGGCTTGATCCTGTTCACCGGTAGAGGAGAGGATAATTCCTGCAGCTGAAGGAGCCAACAGCTTAAATTTTCTGCCTTGCTTCATCTGTCCATTTATAACAGTCCTGTCTGGCTTTCTGAACCTCCCTCCTAAAGAGTGCAATGTTGCTGTGGAATTGTGGATGAGAGTAATTATATGCTATTGACAGATGGTTAGATGGTTAAAGTCATCTTCCTAAGATCCTGAAGACCAACATGGTATGATGATTTTGGCTTTTTTGGTTTGTTGGGTTTCTTTGGTTGGTTTTCTGGTGGGATTTTTTTTTTGTTATTGTTTGGTGGGGCTTTTTTGGTATTCAGGTTGTTTAGCGTTTTATTTACTCCTAGTTGCTGTGTTTACTGCCATTTGGTTACCTGATGTTTGTCTGTAGCAGTAGGGAAGCTGCTGTTCTGATGCTGGAATAAAATGCGAGGAGGTTGTTTCAGCAAATACAGTGTAGTCCCTCACTGCCATCTTTGGCTTTGAGGGAAGGTACCAACACCCTTGTCATGACCATCTAATGCACACTTGGCACATACCTTGTCATTCTGAGGTGTGGAGCAGGTAACACCGTGCTGGGTACCATGGAGCAGGTGTCATGGAGCTGCCCTCACAGGCATTCCACAATGGCAGATGTGGGCCATTTCATTCCTGTGGCAGGGATCTACACAGATTAAATGTAGTGATCAGCAGGCAGTCAAACCCAGCTTTGTCAGCTTTTCATGTAGCATCCTTGTGTGCTGCTGGTGGGTCTGACTGTTAGCCTTGCAGAACACCAGTAATTATTCCTGCACTTTGGCTTTTGCTTATTTTGGGGTCTCAGCTAGGGCAGGTGTTATTTTTAACTATATGGTTCTCTTCTGGTAGGTGGAAACTTCTACATGCAGCTGCCACTGTGGCTTGATCTTCTCTGGCTGAAAGAAAACCCGATTTGTTTGGAGATTCATTACTGTTTTCCGGGAGTTGTGCACATCAGAGATGACAAGGCTGCAGGCATCTCTTGTATTCATTCTTGCTCTTCTTTTGGATCGTTTTATCCTAGAGAGAGCTGCCTCTCTTGTAGACACACCAGCAACTTCCTTTTATCACTGATGCCAAGATTAGTGCCTTCTAAATCCATTGCTACTACTTGCAAAGTGGGTTTTCTGGTCTCCTGCCAGTCGGGAATGGTAGAGGTAAAGGAGCCCCAACTTTGTCGGCTGAATCAGTTTTGGATTTGTGGGCCAGGTGCCAATATTAGTATCACAGAAGTTATGGGTTAAGAACAGAATTTACTCATCGTATTCTTAAATAAGCACATCAAACACATCTACTGCATCACCAGAGCTGTTTGTGTTAGCTAATGGCAATACCCAACATCTGATAATAGCACTAGTGCAACCAAATGGAAAACACAGGTATCTCGCTGCTCCTAGGAAATATATCAAAATTGTTTGCTGTGTTGTCAGCTTGTTAAGATTATCATTAGTGGTAATTTTTCTCCTTTTTTTTATTTTTTTCCCCTCCCCATTAGATTAACAGAATTTTCAGTAATTGATAGTAATCCAGGACTGCTTTCCGAATGAAAAATATGACCTCAGTTAGGCTGTTGGTCAGGAGACAGGATATCTTGTCTACAGCAGAGCCAAGCTGGCTCTGGTTTGCTGGTTGATGTTTCTGTATTTCTAACTAAGACATTCCACGTGTACCTGGCTAGTGGGTTGCTTGGTCAGTGGATGGCTATGCCAGCTGTGAGGAGCTAGCCTTCAGGGATCAATCTGATGAACTCTGCCTCCAGTGAATGCAAAAGGAACTGCTGTGCTGTTCAGGCGCATAGGTAACAGAGGCAAAACACAACCCTGCTTCAGGCACAATCCTCTCCGCCATGATACTCATCTCTCTGCTGCTCATCCCCAGAATTATCACCATGCTATGATTTTTACTTTTTCCCATAGAGAAAATGAATTACAAATGAAACTTTCACATGGTCAGAAACGTATCAGAGAAGTGGTACCTCCAGTATAGTTTTACTTGTAGTCATCTTCAGTTCCACAGAGAGAATGACACAGCCAGTGACTATGCAGCATTACCACATTCACTTAATCCTAGTATGGAAGGAGAGGCTGTGGCTAACAGGTTGTTTTAAACGTCATTTCATTTCTAAACAAGATGATAACCAGTTCTGAATCATGAGTTTGGAAGAGAACCTGGAGCTCTTGTTAGGCCCAGCATTGTTTACAGGTAAGGTTTTTTTTTCCCCCCCTGGAGAGATAGTGACCCACAGATACTGGAGTTACACAGAACCTAACATAAAATCATGTTATTTTATTTCAAATTCTTAACTCTGATCAGGATTGTCAAAAAGGTGCCTTTGGTTTATATAGAGTTCAGACAGGGTTTGGAAGAATATGGACTGATTTCTCAGTGTATCCTTGGTCCAGGTGGGTTTTGTATCATTCCATGAAGAACTAGCCTGAAGGTCTCTATTTGATGTTGTGTCTTTGTCACTTGAATGCTGAATTCACAGGCAACCTGTAAAGGAGTGTTTGGTTTGATTTTTATATATTGTTTTCTCTCAAAGCCTGTGTCCTGTCAGGACGTTACACCTGTACATGCTTTTTTTTCCAAAGCCAAGATTATTCTGGTTTCTTTCCAGCATCTAAAATAGAAGTCTTCTAGAGAACCTGCTGCATAGGGTGATAAAATATCCCACCTTCAGATGATGTCCCACACACTTCTCACTCCTGGTATACCTTTTAGTTGTGGCTAGATTGAGAGATGTTGGGTAACACTTTGCTCAACAAAAAGCCCAAATAATTGAGGACAGAAAGTGTGTTTGTCACGGTGTGGATCTGAAAGAGCCATGGAAAAGACAATTTAGAAATAGGGGATTTCTTAATGGCAGTTAAGTGACCAGTCAATCGATGTCTTCTTGTGCCTGTACATGGAGTGTGCTTTGAGCAGTATCCTCCTGCGTGACCTTATGGAACGCTTGGGGAAGGTCACTGTGACATCCCTTCCCCTTAAGGGTGAGATGTCACAGTCACTTTGGTGGGTGAAGCAGGGGAGTTTGGAAAAGGTCCTTAAGTACTTTCTGCTCAAATTCCTCCAATGGAGATGGCTTTGCTTTTATGACCTGTCATGTGTACCTGAAAGGTGTGTTTAGAGGCTGAAATTTCTGTTTAACCCCCTTGTGCCCTGCATCTCCTGAGCCTGCACTCCAGCACGGAGCAGGCTAAGAAAGAATGAGAGAGAGGCAGGCGGGGTCTCTGGGTGAGTGACCGTAGGTGAGGCAGTGGCTCTGTGGGGAGGCGCAGGGAGGTACCGATGTCAGATGGGCACATGGTCCTCAGGAGGCGGTCAGTGCATGATGGGGAGCTGGCAGCCTGTAGGTAGAAGACAAGGGGGTGGGTGTGCAGGTAGAGGAGGGAGAAGGGCAAGGAGTAGGGGGCATGCTAGAAGGGAAGGTGAGTGACAGAGAGGCAAGCAGGAAGGCGTGCAAGGACGGCTGAAGAGCCCAGACTGGGGGAGCGAGCCCAGGCGGGTTCTCGGGCAGGGGAAGTGGGTAAGGCGAGGAGCGGAGGGTGTGTGGAGGGCAGGGGGTGTTTAGGAGGGGAAGTGGGCAGGTGGCCGGGCAGGGTTCGGCAGGTGAGTGTCCCGAGGAAGTGGGCGCGGGGCCGGAGGAGGGTCAGCGGGCGGGGTTCGGCGGGGAAGCGGGCACGGGGCTGGGCGTGAGGCGGGAGCCGAGGGGCTGCCCCGCGGCCCGGGCGGGGCCACCTCCCGCCCCCGGGGCAGCCCAGGGGCCGCGGTTCCCGGCTGGGCGGCGAGGGGCGGGCGGGAGCTGGCCCCGATAAAGGGCCGGGCGGCGCCCGGCGCAGGCAGAGCGGAGCGGCGGCGGCAGAGATGGGGATGCTCAGCCTGCCCGGCTTTCTGTCCTGCGGGAAGAAGAAGGTGAGAGGCGAGGGGTGGCTGGTAGGAGGCACCCAGGCAGGTGTGGGAGAATGCAGACAGGTGTGGGTGCACCTGAACAGGTGGAGTATGGAGGCTGCAGGTACGTGGGCAGCTATGGGAGCGCTGGCAGGTATGAAGTTGTCTGGGCAGGTGAGATCTAGATAGATGTGGGAATATAGGGGCACAGTGGTAGGTAATGTGAGATGAGCTAGGATGAGCACCTAGGAGTTTGTGAAATGTGCTAGGACAGGAGTTTTTTAAAGTGGATGTACAAGTATGTACTGTTGTGAATATCTGAACAGATATGTGGGCATCTGGCCCTGTGGTGGTGGAACAGAGTATTTTAACTCCCTGGAGGTGCTGCCCCTACGAGCATCCAGCAAGGAGTATTAAGGTAGGAGGACTAGGGCAAAACTCACCGTGAAGGTTTTTGGGCTCTCTGGTGGGACCCTCACTCACAGGTCTATGCTGACCTGCCAGGGATTGGCTGGACTGGCAGCCCACCTGGCTCTGCCCTCCCTGTCTAGCTGCCCTGCCCAGCGATGCCAAGGTGCTGCTCTGGACAGGGAAATGTGGATACAATTGTCCTGCTTGCCCGTGGGGTGATCACAAACCTTCCCTCTTCTCTTCCAAGGACTTCAGTTTGTCACATGGAAAAGATTCCCGCTCCAGTGATGGAAGTGATGGTGATGAGAACAAGGAGCGTGGCAACTGGTCAAGCAAAGGCGACTACCTGCTCTCCATGGTGGGCTATGCCGTGGGCCTGGGCAACGTCTGGCGCTTTCCCTACCTCACCTACCAGAACGGCGGAGGTACTTGTGCTGAATGGCAATGTCGGGTGGGCACACCTTGCTGTCCCCAGGGGAGAGGAGGACAAGCTCCAAGGGCCAGCCCTGAGGCTGGAAACGTTTCTCAAAGCTGGATGTGAGAATCACCCTGGGAACTGGGATAGTGTCTGCTATTGGAAAGGGAAAAGGAGCAAGAGACATCTATGTGTTTTTTGGGCACTAGCTGAGGAGAGAAATAGTATTTAGTTTTAAATGCTTGTTTCCACCAGAGAGTTCCAGAACTCTTCTGATTTACTCACAACCAATATGGACCTTTTTGTCAATGTGCCAATATCCTCTGCTTACCTAAATAGCTCTTCGCCCTCCCCAGTGCTTACCTCCCTGGTATGTTATAGAGAACAGTTGAATCCTTTCTGCACCTTTGTTTTGCCATGCAAACAAGCTAAACTGGAATTATTATCTAAGCTCAATAATTATCCCATTCAGAAGTATGAGACAGAGAGAGCCTCTATCTTACAAAATGAAATAGTGGCAAAACCAAATGGAGGCACTGGCTTCCCTGGCTGATATTCCAGAGCTTTATCTACTTGCTAGGCTACCACTGGTAATTAAAGAGAGCATAAATGCTAAGTAACTGCAGAGAACTTACTTGTGTGTACCTATTTGCTCTGTTTAACAGTTGCTGAAGTCAAATTCTGGACTGTAAACAGCACAGCCCATAGAGCTGTGCTTGTGGAACAAAAGGAGGCAGTCTTAGTACAGAAGTTTTATTGGAGTGAGCTTGTCCAGGTTGCATTTTGTTGAAGAAAATTGTGAAAACAAAATAAGTTGTGACATCAGCCTTGTACTAGATCTTTTTCCTTATCTGCTGCAGCAGAAAACTTTGCATTTAAAGCATATTTGTGCTGCTGCTTGCATCCTTCTCTGTGCTCCTTGCCTGTGATTGATAAAGACAACTATTACATCCTTGTTTTGAAACACAGGAGTAATCCAGTTAGTTCTGTGGGACGGTTTACTTCCCAAAATTACATCAGGTATTTGCAGTTCCTTGCAGAACTGGGTCCTTGGCTGCTTTAAATTCACTGAGAGTGAATTTTAAATTTTTTTTAAGTTCACTGAGAGTGACAGATTTCTGCAGGGATATCGGGTTTTGTTTATGCAACTTGTGCTCTCACTTTTCTCATCTTCTGTGAACACACAAAGAAGTGCCAGTCCCTTTCACAGAACAGGACGCTCAATGATATCAGGTTAACCTACACTTCAAAATGGACTTGAACAAGAGCCACACTGAGATGCTGTTTGACACAGGACTCGGCCAACCATAGAAAATAACTTTCATGCTTTGATCTCCAGTAGTGGCTCGAACAGGGCAGTTGCAAATCACAGCTAAGTACATAAAGGAATGGTTCTCTTCCTTTTTAAAAGCTGGAAGAGTAAATAGAAATAGAGAAGGCTGATAGTGCCTACAGCTGAGCAGTGTTCCTGTTTGTATAAGAGTGCTATGTCTTCAGTAGTTTTTGTAAAATTCTTTTATTTCTACAAGGGAAACCTTCCTTTTTAAATCATCAGTTCTCCTGACTATCTGTGTCTCTTCATTGCAGGTGGTACTTAGTCTTGTAGAAAATGCGATTTAGAAACAAATCTCTCTATCCTGAAAAAAAAAACCCTATAGTGGGATATTTGAGGAGGTGAAAAAGGGGGAGTATAAAATGTGATAAAACTGTGGTGAATACTGAAAAATTGTTTTCTCTGTGTGTGTGATTGTGGTTTTTCCCCCTTCTCTCCCCTCAGGTGCTTTTCTGATCCCCTACACCCTGATGTTGGCATTAGCTGGCTTGCCCCTATTTTTCATGGAATGTTCCCTTGGGCAGTTTGCCAGTCAAGGGCCCATTTACGTCTGGAGAATACTACCATTGTTTCAAGGTTGGTTTTGTTATGCTTCCTTAGCTAATTTTTATTCTAGTAATAAGATGATGTGAATTAATGATTTCCTCACAAAGTTACTAATTCTGAGATGCCGATTTTCCTGTAGCGACTATTCCCAGTGCTACAAGGTCAGTGTTATATTCCCAGGTACATAATTCCTTATTATTCAGTTGATAACCAGACGTTGATAAGGGATTTCCCTGAAAAGGTTGTAATTTGTGAGAGGTTTTGTCAATTATTCTCCTGGTGTTAAGCAGCACGTCACCCTCACTGCAGCCAGAAGAAGATGACCCTGTTTGCCATCTGAGGGAAAACCTCAGTAAAACAACTGGTACTGTGTGCAACAGATCGAAAATAATTTTTAGGAGTTGAATTTATCACTGGTTTTTTATGCTTCGTGTCCAGTGTAGCTTGCAAGGCAGTTCTGTGTTGGATGGACTCATTCTGTGTTTGGCTGCCAGTGTCGGCACAGGCACGTCAGCCTGGTCTGTATGCAATGCTGTGCACATAGTCATCCAGCAACTGCCTTGGGAGTCATCTGCTGGTGTGATTAAATAGCCTAGACTCTGGCTTTGTAAGGTGAGGTGCCCCTTGAGATAAGAGAAATCCTTGCAGTCTGTAGTGGTGGTTAGCCTGTCTCTGAGAGGGTTTGCATTTCACAGGGAAATTTGTTTGGAAACAACTAACCATGTGCTTTACTCACTCCTATCCATCCCAGTCCTGTACCACGGGTGTAAAGGACTATGCAACTGGTCTTGTTTATCCTCTTTGTCTACCAGATGAATTAGTGTAGGAACAAGGAAGTTTCTTTCTGATGCAATAAGATTTTTGCTTACTACCTTCCATAGAAACTGGTTGCCACAACGTTTATTCTTTTGGTCAGTCTGTGTTCTGCAGCACAAGCAACCTTTCATGAGAGCAGTGTGTTTAAGGCAAAAGTTTTTAAAGCAAGTCTTTTTTATGTCTGTAAAGATAAAAACTTAAATATAGTGTCTAAGATGATTGGAACAGTTTGTCAGGCTTTCCCAAACTAGCAGAACAAAACTCATTTTAGCAAAGGGAGAGAACAGTAGTATTAGCACAGATTTACTGTTCTGTGTTGCTGCTCATTCATTGTCAAAAGCCTTTATTACAGTGGAATCTTCAAAATGGCTTGAGTAGTCCCAGTACAGTTTCTTTTATTTTACTAAGCTTCTCTCTAAACTGAGAGAGAACAAAATACTGAATTTCTCCTTTAGACTTGGACTTAGAAACTAGTCCAATTTTTCTATGGGCTTGATTCAAAATCTCTGCCAAAGCCATTTTTGAGATGGTCAATTTGGATCCTATCCATCATTTTATGGCTTTACCCTTTCGCTGTTTCCTCTTAAAAATAATTTAAAAACCAAACAAAAAAATACCCTCAGCTTTTACCCAGGTAGCCTTTTAAAAGTCAAGTAAAGGCCATTTGATTTGGGGTTGTTAGTGTGATTTGGGGTTGTTAGTTTGGGTTTGTTTGTTTTTGTTATTTTAAACTGGGTTTGAGGTACTTAAGACATTAAGCTTTTCTCTTTCCTAGGAGTGGGCTTCACTATGGTCATCATCTCAGCATTTGTGTCAGTCTACTACAACGTTATCATTGCTTATGCAATCTACTACTTATTTGCCTCATTTCAAAAAGTGCTACCATGGTCAGAATGCTTTTCCTGGGCAGATGAATTCTGCAGCAAGACACAAATAGGTATTGTACTCAAGAGATAAAATTTAATATTACTGTTTTGGGAAATTGTACTGTTTTCTGGGAGAAATTATAGAAGCAAGACAGCTAACCATGGCTTGAAAAGTCCTTCCTGGATTTTGTCTCTCAACACACAGCAGTGATGCTTATCTTCTTCCCTGACACCAGTTCTGGGTACATGGGAAATCTACAGAGAACTGGGCTGAAACCACCTCGTTGGATCCTTTTTTCTCCTTTAAAACCTCAGTTTATTTCTAGTACATACTGCATTTCCATTTCATCAGGCTTTATGACAAACAAATACCCTCCTTCCATGAGACAAGTGTTACTACTGTAGTTTCTATCAGGTTTTTTCTCGTTGCCCCTTGCCTCCCCTGTGGCTATGGTAATCCTGAGCACCAGTGAGGCACTGGTTTCACACTTCATTAAGTCTTTAGAACTTATCTCCACACTATTGTTCTTGATGTTTGGCAGCAGATGTAGGGCTAAACACTTGTTATTTCACCAGTTTCTGTATCAGACCAGTTTAAGGCAAAAGGTGAAGTTGGTGAGGTAATTAGTAGTTAGCACCTGGAAATGTCTTGCCAGGTAACCTCTGAGATTATTAAAATAACAAGGACAGGATCAGGATAGTTTATATTGTTTACAGCATTTATGTATATGTAACTCAGCCATATATCTGAAAATCTCTTATAAGATTCGTAGGTTTCATAAAATGAAGTTGAGGTTCTTTATGTAACAAAAAGTTGATGCTTGCTTATGGGCAAAACAAAAAATATTTCAGTATAAAATTTGTGGTGGAGAAATATAAAATTGAATTGAAGAAGCTGTCCTGAAATAGAATTCAACAAGACTTTTCCAGTAAATGCTGATACGAATGCTGATAAAATGTTCATTAGTGTATGTGCTGGCAAAAAATTCCCAGAGCCAAACAGTGCCCATTCCTCTCACATCCTTCCAAGGAAAATAATTTAAGAACTCTAATAAGCCCTCTGTGGCAATAAGATGAAGTTGCTAGCAGATGATCTGTGTGTAATCTTGGTTTGGGACAAAGGTCTTCATAAAGTAACCAAGGCTACAGTCTTAACTATCCTCAGTTCTGATTTTTGCAAGTACTCTTGAGGATAAGTGAAACGTGGTGAGCATACCAGATTCTTGGTGTTTTTGATTTACAGTGAAGTAACAAAGTCACAGCAGCAAATGATAGTTCAGGTTTGTTTTTAAATGTGGTTAGTAGGCAAACTGAAGCTGTAACTTTAGAAAATGTATTTGTTATGATAGTCATCACAGTGTTAAGTGATTCCTTTTTCTTGCTTTCAGTAAATGACTGCAATACAACCTTACATGGAGAAATCATTCATGCAAACTACACGTTTGTCACAAGCAACAATCTCACTTGTATAAACGGCACCATAAACTACAAACCAGTGCAATTTCCTAGTGAGCAATACTGGAAGTAAGTAAATGTTTTAAAGAAATTGTTAAAAAAACTTTATTATGCATTGTGGCTTTGGATGTACCTTTTATTTTTGTCTTATTTTGGTGCCCAGAAAAAAATCTACTCAAGGGTTGTGGGCATGTAAATTGGTAGAGAGGAGATTTAAAACTTAATTGATAAATCTGGCCCTTATGAAAAAAAAAATATATGTAGAAAGAGAAGCGAGTCAAGCTGTTGCAAACTGAAAAATATTCCAGTTTAAAGAAGTCCTTTCCCCTGAAGTCCTGGTAGGGACTACTTAGCGTCTTTATATATAGTATATACTTTTTTTTCCTAGGAGTTACAGTGCAAAATATATTCACCTTATTCTGAATCTGGGCCTGTTGTGAAATTGCCATTTCTTTAGCCCCATGGTTTCAATTTGTCTCATGTTCCCTGGGTTCCTGGAAACTGATTCCTACGGGCTCTTCTTTTGCTGTCAGAAGAGCTGTTAACACAGAAGAGCTGAGGTGGGCCTTATGAGTGATGCATGGAGAGCTGAGAGCTGGTAAAGGGGAAGAACACAGTTAAATATTCAGTTTTTCAATGCCAATCATGCAGTTCTAGCTGCACGCTCCTGAAAAAGGATGCAGAGTCTTGTAACACCAGCAGACACCAGCACCAGCTCACCTTCTTCCAAGAAGTAGCTGAAAAGGAGGTGTGTGTGCTGCTGTCACCCTCTTCTCATGGGAGCACTCTGTGCTTTCAGTAAAGTGGCTCTTCAGCGCTCGAGTGGGCTGGATGAGACTGGCAACGTCGTGTGGTACCTGGCTCTCTGCCTCCTCCTGGCCTGGATGATTGTTGCAGCTGCCTTGTTTAAAGGAATAAAATCTTCTGGAAAGGTATGTTAGGAAGAGCAAGGAGCAGACTTTTTGCCTGATCCTGCCCTTCCAATGTCAGTTGGACTCAGGGAAGGTTAGCACAAGGCAGGATGCAGTCCTAACCCACCACCCTCTGCTGGACTCAGCTTTTCTCCTGCTCCTTGACTTCATAACTGTTACATAAAATATGAGCAAGGTACTGATTACACGGCCACTACTTAACACATGGGCCTCAACTCCGGCAGGGCTGTCCTGTATTTTGGGATGTCGCTGTCATGCCAGTGATTCCAGCTGAGTTTTGGCAGTCACCTGGGCTGTGTGAAGGATGTGTGCATGTGACGGCACACGCGGGCACACGCCCTGGGAACACCTGGTGATTATTTGCACCTCCGGTGTAGTTGAGATGTTTGGACAATACAGGTCAGGTCCTGCTAACACATGTGCATGTGCAGGTTCCTACCAGGTTGTGAAACGTTGTTTGTTCTCAAAAACTGAAGCTGTTTTTAGGGACCAGGTTCATTGATGTTTGTTTTCAGACTCTGGCTCTGCTGAGTTCCCATCCCCACATGCTGGAGCATGGCTGCCTGGTCTTTTCCTTGGGCTAGGTTTACTTCAGGCAGGCTGAATTTCATTCTTCCCTGCCTGAGGCCCTTTTCCTGGTTTACTTCCTTCCTTCCCACACATTTCTCTCACCTCCATGTTGCATCTCCCTCATCTACTTCTTCATTCTCAATTGACTTCATTCTTTCTTTCACCTTTTCTGCACTGACCTTTTTTCTGTTTTCTTCTGTCATTGTGCCTTTCCATGGTTCCTTGCTGCCTGCCTTTCTCTCCTCAGGCTGATGTTTCCTCCTGTCTTTATATTTGGAGCTTTCTACCCTCTGTCTCAGCACTTTGGGGTGGAGTATCTTTTGGCCACATGGCTCCTCTTAATCTCACACTCTTTGGGTGCCTAGTTGGCTATTCCTCTTGTCACTTCTCCTCTGGCACAAAAGTAAACCTCTCTGGGGAGCAAGCTAAGACTCAGAAGAATCTAGATGGGCAGGAGCAAGGCAAAGATGAAAAGCAGAAAGAATTGTCTGTTCTAGGCAAACATGAAGGAGTTCTTCAGAAATGGCAGACTCACCACATGATGGTGCAATGCTATAGCTTGGTGTAACCAGCAGTACCGGGTCAATTATCTATCTGCGTAACACTGAAACTAAGACCCAAGAAACAAGAGTATTGTTGAATGTAGCCTGTGTGACAATAGCCCTGCTGCTGGCCTGGATCCCATTGCTCTAGACAAACAACAGAATAGATCTGTGTCTGAAAGAACCTGAAAGTACTTTGTTCTCAGTAAAGAAAGCATCCAGAATGGTGCTTTTTTTTTTTTTTTTTTTTTTTTTTTTTTTTTTTTTTTTGGGCGAGGGNTTATTTTTATTTTTTTTTTTTTTTTTTTTTTTTTTTGGGCGAGGGAGAGACGGGGGAGTAGGTTTTAGTCTCATCAGGAGATAATTCCACACTGGTCACCTGATTTTAACTAGCTTTCAGTTTGCTCTTGCTGGAAGCATTACTTAGCAAGAGACCTCTGGGGTAGTTGAGTCCCGACTTTGCTACAGCAGTAAATCATGTCAGAAAAACACATTTCTGAAACTGGTTAAGTGCTATCTGAAAAGTGGATATGTGGCTTGGGCCTTCTGCTTCTGCTGGAATGCAGCTCAAGAACCGGCAAAGCCAGATGGTTTGGTGGTTGGCATGTGTTCACTTCCGTGGTTGCCTGTTTTTCTTTTGTACCAGCAGACCTTAGCTTAAAGCCTGTCCATTCCTCCTCCACAGAGGTCAATGCATCCCCTCATTCCTAAGGTGTGTCCCTGCCCATCTTTCTGCAGGTCGTCTACTTTACTGCACTCTTCCCATATGTCATCCTGCTCATCTTGCTGGTGAGAGGTGCCACTCTGGAAGGTGCTATGGATGGCATTCAGTACTACATTGGGAGACAGTCTAACTTCACCAAGCTGATGGAGGCAGAGGTGAGAGCTAGCGTCAGCCCCAGAAGTGTGACACATTTCCGTGGTTCTGTGGGCTTGCTGCTTGCAGAGCAACTTCTTTTCTATCCAGTCAGGTGCTTCTTTGTGTCCTGCCCTGTATTTTGTATAGGATAAGGAGTCCAAGCTCCTCTATTCTAGCTACTCTCAATTTAAAAAATAGTCACCCTCTGCCCCCTCCCTGCTGCACCAGACAGTTAAAACAACTGTGCTATTGCCTCTGATGAGCTCTTGGCAGTCATGCTGGAGTTTCATATCAGCAAGGCCTGCTGAGAAAGTCCTTGCTGATAATTTTAAGGGACTTTATCAGAAGGCTGAAGGGATCCCTGAGTTTGAAATTCAGGCTGTGCCTTGCCCAAGAAATTAGCTTGGGTAACTAGGTGCACCAGGAAGGGTACCTTGTGCAATGAAAGCCTGGACTTCTTTTGTTCTGGCTTATGCCAATATTTATTATTTCAGTTTTATCAAAAGCAGGCGCTAAGTGTGGTGTTTATTTGTGGTATTTATTTGTGGCTTGGCGCTAACTAAGGGGCTGCAGCAGAGGCAGAAGTGGTTTGTTTGGGTCACAGTGGAGGAACATGAGTGGGAGAGTACAGGGAAGTTCTCACTCCTGCAGGGCAGTCCTGGTTTTCCTTATTTGTTGGCACTGTGACAGGATTCATATCTCAACAACCCACAGATGTGAACAAATTGAATCTCTTCTTTAGCGTTAGCCAGCCCAATAAGATTTAAGTATTTGGCAACATACTTGGGATGTGACCTTTGGAGACAAGAGAAGGTATTGTTTGTGCTTGAGACTGCAAGGTCACCAGCATACTATATCCCACATACCCTAAAATTCATATGAAATAGAATTAGATATTCAGGCTAAATGAAAAAAAAAATACCCTTGAGCTTCAACAGAGGCCAGACTTAAATGTTTATGGTAAGTACACTTCACTATGGAATAATTCTCCTGTTCTTATTTTTGGTAGGTTTGGAAAGATGCAGCCACCCAGATATTTTACTCCCTGTCTGTGGCATGGGGCGGGCTTGTTGCATTGTCTTCGTACAATAGGTTCAACAACAACTGCTACTCGGATGCCATTACAGTTTGTGTAGTCAACTGCGTCACCAGCGTATTTGCTGGGTTTGCAGTGTTCTCCATCTTGGGACACATGGCATTCGTGTCTCAGAGACCCGTCTCCGAGGTCGTGAACTCAGGTAGGCTGACTGTCACACTGTTGGTATTGGGACTTGCACTGACCAAGGCATGGCAATAACATCCTTCTTTCCACTACTTTCCAGGATTTAATCTTGCATTTGTAGCCTACCCAGAGGCCCTCTCCAAGTTACCAGTTTCTCCTCTGTGGTCCTTCTTGTTTTTCTTCATGCTGCTGCTCTTGGGCCTTGACTCCCAGTTTGCCAGCATAGGTGAGTGGTGTTTTAAGTGACTCATGGCTTTTCAAATGACCATTGCCTTTGTTAATTATGCTGCTCAAACTCCCCACTTCTTCCTTTGCAGAAACACTTACAACCACCATTCAAGATTTTTTTCCCAGAGTGATGAAAAAATTAAGAATCCCTGTAACCATGGGCCTGTGCACAGTGCTCTTTCTTCTTGGGCTTATCTGTGTTACTGAGGTAAGACATTAAATTATTTTTTGGTAGTGAGTTTAGTTATGCTGCCAGTGATGAACTCAAATCAAAATACCCTTTCCAACTGTTCCTGCCTGCGTGGGTCAATCTTGGAGACTCAAATTCTGCCGGTGTGCCTGGGCGCACAAATAAGGAATTTCCAGAGGGAAGCTTGGAGAACCTAAGGTTTTCTGTGATTATTGAACTGAGACGTGCTTTTGAATAGAAGGCCTTTACAGAGCCCGTGAACCATCAGCCTGATTTATCGTTCCTCAGTTCAGGAGTTTGTGTAATCACGGGTATATGCACACAGCGTGTCTGCAGCACTGTGGGTACTGCTGATAAATGTCAATGGGATCTTTTTGTTCAGAACTGACTACCAACCAGGACAGAAATTGAGAAATAGCCTATTCGTGTCATAAAAACCCATTAGCTCACAAGCATCTGTAGATTGCATGGTTACTTCTCCTGCGTGTGTGTACATATATAAATACACATACGGAAAAAGAATTTTAAATATAGTGTGTAAAATTTCTTGAGGTAATTGCTTTTAAGGCTACAAGGGTTCACTGTAATTATTCCATCTAGAAATGCAGATTTATGTGTGTAATTAGACTGACAATGTGAAGAAGATAATTGTGGTAAATAGTCACTTGTATGGTCAAGCCAAGTATGTAAGTCATAGAACCTGGTGGCAGGGAAGCTTGCAAGGGACTTAGTACTCAAGAGTGTGAAATGACTTAAAGCTTGTTTCCTTTGCTGTGATCCTGTTATTGCACACTGGTGTTTAAAGCTGTGTTTAACCCACATGGAGAACTTGTGCATGTGGGAATATAGAAGCCCCTCAGAACTGATAATTGGTACAGCTATTGCTGTGGCTCAGTATTAAAACTTCAGCCCCAGCTTTATTACTGTAAGCTCCAAGTTTAAATCTTGCTTTCAGCTCTTTACATATACTCTGCATACATATATATGTCTTGGTTTTGGTATTGTGTCAGATGTGCTTTTCAACTTTACATAGAAGTATTCAAACAAAATAATATTCACAAATATATATTTAACCTGAAGTACTGGGAATTTAAAAAACTCAGAGTGGTGATCAGTTAAACTGCCTTGAACAAATACAACTTATTTTATTTGCACAAATGTGTTACTATTCAAATTTTAACCTCTAATGTTTGTTTTACAGGCAGGAATTTACTGGGTTAACCTAATAGATCATTTTTGTGCTGGATGGGGAATCCTTTTTTCAGCTGTCCTGGAGGTAGCAGGCGTCGTCTACATTTATGGTAAATTATTTGCATTGAAAATCCGTAATTTGTCTAAGCAATCCCAGGCACAGTGTATATCATAGAACCACAACATGGCTTGGGTTGGAAGGGACCTTAAAGATCATCTTGTTCCAATCCCCCTGCCACAGGCAGGTACACCTTCAACTAGACCAGGTTGCTCAAAGCTCCATCCAACTTGGCCTTGAACAGTGCCAGGAATAATAAATGGTAATTACTGCAATAAAGAATTTATAACTTAACTGTCAGAAAAGCTTTAATAATTACCACTAAAGTGGAGAAACTGTCCTTGATCATTGTCTTTTTTCCGTAAAGGGAGTCACCCGTTTTACAATGTGCCCTATGATTGTCTTTCAACAGGAGGAAACAGGTTCATTCAAGACATTGAAATGATGATTGGACACAAGAGCCGTTTATTTTGGCTCTGGTGGAGAATCTGCTGGTTTTTCGTTACTCCTGCGCTGTTAATGGTGAGTGCAGATGACTGGATTGTGTTAGTGTGACAGAACTTGGTAATTTGATATTGAAGAGGTTTCCATGTGAAGATTCAGGGCTGAATGCCCAGGCTCTGTGTATAAAGACGGGGTATGGCCGTGTCAGTGAAGGAAATACTGTCTCTGCTTTCTGATACATTCCCCCCTCCTCGGATCCTCTTAGGAGAGGCTGGAGGTTTAGATCAGTTGCTAGTGAGCTGGATCTACACTCCCAAGGACTAAGAGAGCAACCAGATCGTTTGTCTTGGCAGATAGATTATCTTCATTTTAGACTGAGAAAACGTTTTGAAAACTTGGATTTTTCCCTTTTGAGGGAAGTCCCATTTTTGGAATGGATTCCTGGCTTGGATCTTTGGATGTCCAGTTGTTCTCCTGTCTCACTGAGACCTGTTTATGTCCTGTCACATGTCTCAGTTTTTCATTACTGTTGTACTTCTAATTGTGGTGTAGATGGTGGATTATGTTAGTATGAGAGAATTTATTAATATCCCAAATCCAGGAAGAGTGGTAAGTTACTCTGGCCAGCACATTACCTTTAATATGTCCAGACAACAATTTAGAAAATGCTGCTTAAAAATATCTAATTTCTGCAGCAATATTTGCCAACTTCTAATCTTAGATTCTTTCCTGTATTCCCAGAAATAACTGAACATGGGAACACACAAAACATATAGAGAAAGGTACTGGGCTCATCCAACAGTAGATGTATTATCTAATGCAGGATTTCAAGAGAACCCAGAGATGAAGTTGTGTTTAAACACAGATGTACTTAGTGTTAGGGTGTACATCAGTATCATTGTTCAGTCCTGCCCTTTGCTCTTGCTATTTGGCTGTGACTGAACACCAAATCCTGCACAACCGTTCTCACGCTTGGAAAGCAAAATTGAACTGTGCAGAACTTGTAGACAGTACTTTTGTTAAATCAACTTAGATTCGAAGATTGCAAGTTCAAGGTTTCTGGAAATCTGCTTTTCTCTCTTATTCTTTTCATCCTTTTTTATAGGCTATTTTGCTCTGGTCTTTGGCCACATTTTCACCTCCTTCTTATGGCTCAGTGCAATATCCAACCTGGGGAAGTGCTGTTGGCTGGTGCATGATCATCTTCTGCGTCATCTGGATTCCCATTGTTGCTATTGTAAAAATAGTTAAAGCTGAAGGAACCCTTTTTGAGGTAAGGGCGCAAAAAAAGCTTTCATAGCCTCAAATCTTAATTTCTTTGGCATTATCAGGACTACCTGCACTTTTTTTCTCAAACACGTTTGATATGTCCGTTAATTGGATTTTTAGACCAAAACACATCTCTGGCAGTTGCATCAGAGGCAAATTTAAAGTGTTCTGATAAGAAGATAAAGTCTGATTTTCTGGGAGTGCACACACACGTTCAAGAGTGATTTTCATGGGCTCTGTGTTATTTCAGCTGCTTTAAATTCTTTGGAGAATTTTTATTGCTTTATATCCCTATATAATTCGCTGGAGTTTTACATCCCATTCCTCACAGAAACAAGCAAGTGCCAGATCTGAGGTATGCTGCACTTGCCAAGCTTTGCCAAACAGTCCTGTTGGTCACACTTTCTCTGTTTTTTCACTTCAGTATCCAGAATCCACTGACCCCGAAGATATTTGGAAGGATTCTAAACAACTTTAGTGATTTGCCATTTGTTGAGTTACAGCTTTGCTGAATTTCAATAGTAGCCTGGACTAAAGTTGTGCTTGGTTTTACTTTCCAGCGCATTGCGAGCTGCTGCCAGCCTGCAGCAAACTGGGGCCCCTACCTGGAACGCCACCGAGGAGAACGATACAGTCATATGGTAGATCCCAAAAAGGAAAAGGAACACGAGATTCCTACTGTGTTCGGCCTCATATACACGCAATAATGAGATAGCTGTTCGGATGACAATTTTTTAACAAATATGCGTGTTTTGTCTTTTAATATTAGAAAGGGACAATGCAAAGAAAAAAAGAATAAAAAAGAAAAAAAGCAAATCAACCCCCTGCCCTTCAAAATCCAATCCCCAAACGAAAGCTAGCCATATTATTTATTTTTAGAGCTTTAGTTGTTGGGGAAGAACAGATAAATTAGGCACTGAGATCTCACCAGATATCTAGGTTGAGAGGGCAGGATAATACATTGCAGGCTCCCCAGGCTGCTGGACTGGGCAGGCTTAACCCCACCCAACTGGTATCCAGCTGGACTGCAGATACGGGTGTGGAAGCAAGTAAAGACACATTCAGGTACTCCTCAGCTACAGGAATTTGAACCCAAAGGTGCTGTGCATGTGTGCCCTGATGTGCAGTTACTGCCTTCTGCTTTGCTCTGCCATCCACAGTGGTGTGTGGTCAGCAGAGGTGAACTGGTGTGCTGCTGCCTGGCACTGCAGCTCAGGGAACAGAAATAATTTTTCTCTAAGCCTTGCTCAGTGTGCTGTGGGGCTGCTCTGGATTTATGTTGAGTACTATGTGTGTCTGTGTGTGTGCGTGTGTGTATTGTCTAAAGAAATATAAATATTGAGCGGCAAAAAATTTCCACCACAGGAAATAAGACTTCAACGTAGTGAAAAGCAGGCTGCTTTCTGTCTCTCATTATTTCCCTTGGGATCCCCAAAGAGCCATCTTTTGTGTCATGCCCTGTGCTTAGCATTCATTTGTCTGTAAAAAAAAAAATCCCGTGTTTTCATATTCTGTCAGTAGGATCTGCAGAATGAAAGAGTAACCATTGAGTTCTGGTGTGTCTGCTCTCCTACTCTCACCAAAGCTTTACCTATCAGTTTGTTTTCTGCATCTTTCACTCAGATTTGGGGTTTCCCTTGCAAAGGAGACCCAAAGTGCTTTTTTAAAGATTCAAACAGTGTTATCAGTGTTGTGGTAGGGACAAAAGAAGCAGAACTTTACTTACAGTGAAGGTTATAACTGCATTGTAGTGCTATTACTCCAGAATTTGCTAAAATCATGAGATTAATAAAAAGTTATGAAGTTTCTAATGCAGTTAGGAAAGCAGACTTGGGCATCTACCTAGGCAGGAGGGTGCTGGGTTAAGAGAACCTGATTTCACTTGTAATACAAGTGAATTCCTGATAAAGGGAAAAAAACCCCTACAGATAGACTAAATACATTTGGTGTGCTGAGGAACATCTCTTACTGTGATAATGGTTCCTTGGGAACAATGCAGCAGGGTATGTAGCTGTCACTTCCTCTCAGGGCTTTGTCACTTTTTCTGGACATGAAGGAGTGTGAATAGTGGCTTGTTGCCCAAGCTGCATTACCTTGGTGCACGTTTTATACTGGTACTTTTTGTGATAAATCAACACTTTATGGCAAATAAAATGTGATTTCCTGTTTTTAATCATTTTGGAGCTGGCAAATAAAATGTGATTTTCTGTTTTTAATGAGTTTGGACCCGGATACTTCTAGCATTTTGTGTGGAGTTGGTGGGGAGCCATTGGGAAGAAGGGAACTGCCATGAGTGCTTTTGTGATCCTAAGCCTTTGAGAGCTTGAACTGGAAAGATTCAATCTTCTTTTCTTATAGAATTCAAGATTCTTTTCTTATAGAAGTGCAGTAGTCCTGTTTTGGAGTGGGCTAAGAAAATACGGAAGATAATTGAGTGGGAATTTTTAAAAAGGACTGTGGTATTAGTGCCATGGGAGTAGAAGCTGGTGAAGAGGACCCTTTTCCTGCACTCCAGCTGCTCTAGGATCATGGTTTAGCCACAAACCAGTAGAAAAGGGTGTTGTCACTAGCCTGGAGAGGCTGGGAGTAGGAGGGAGGCTGCAAAGCTGTAGTACTCATCCTCCAATGCACCATCCACTGGTGCTGATGCAGTGAGAACAGCTCATACCTGGGAAGGGACAGACTCAGGGAAGGAGAGGGAAGTTAGTTAAATAATGAGTGAGAGCACTGAGGTGGTGGGGAAGCAGACTGAATAAATCATCTTGAGAAAGAATTCAGGAAAAGTTTTGCAAAAGAGATGCTGAAAGCTAATACCAGCCATCTACTGCCCTGCAAGAAGCCCCTGTTGCTACACGCAGGGCTCCCATGAGGCTGCTTCTGCTCTGGACTTGTCTCGTGGGCTTCTGGGAGCTGTTTTCCTGATGCTGCCCTACCAAAACCTCCCAGAGGAGAGACAGATGGCAATTTCTCAAAGGCCAGAGCTCCCGTTTTGGTGCTTCCTCCTTCCTCCAAGGTAAGAAAATACCCCAGTTCTGAAGGCAAGGTTCACTCTCCTGGCGGAGCTGGGATCCTTCTCTGTGTGTGCATATCTGACATGTTCCTGATTATATCCAGCTTCTGTTGCTCTCTTTGTGTGAGCTGATTCACTCCTTATGTTGCTGATTGCTGACATCTGCTGAAGAGTCTCAGAGAGTATTTCAGTCCTGGCATTAGTGTTCTTCACCCATCATGGCTCTGGCCCAGCACCTAGGGTTGTTCAGTAGCCCCTGATGGTTACAGAAGTGGCGTCCCTCGGTGCTTCTGTGAACCCAGCAGACCTGGCTATTCCTCACCCACCCAGACTGGTGGTACTCAATGCTCTGGTGTTTGTTGGATTGAAACATCAGCAGTGTCACCCAGTGCAGCATTCCTGCTAAGGGAGGGTTTTCTGTGCTGAGCAGGTGATTGAAATGCCTGGAATTTGTTTTTTATTACTTTGAGAGGAAAAAAGCAAATGGTTCCACTTTGGATCCAACTAAGCAGGAATGAAAGGAAAACTCATGGAAAGAGAATAGTAGAAGTGCGGGAGTAGTACATCTGCTTTGGATTGACTCAAAATGCAAGTCTGTTTTCAGTCAGGAATGAGCACACACACGTTTGTAGTTAAAATAAGGCACATCTATAGCATGGAAGTATCTAAGAACAGATATTTCAACTGGAGTTTTTATAAGTACGTAAAGCGATTAGTTAGGGGCCAGGATTGAGAAAGCAAATTGAAAACCCCGGAGTTGTTCCCCTTGCAGAGAGCGTTTATAGGCATGAAGTGAAATGGGGGGGGAAAAAAAAAAAAAGGTATTTAATTTCCCGTGTCCCCCGTCGCCTCGGTGCCGCGGGCGGGTTCCCAGCCGGGGCTGCGCGGCGGGCGCTGCCCAGCAGAGAGCAGCGTGTGCCCGTGGCTGCGGCTCCGCTCCCGGCGCGGCGGCTGCGAGCGGCCGGGAGACCCCCGCCCCTCTCCTCGCTGCTCCGTGGCTGCACTGTAAAGCAGCGGGGTCGCTGGCGTTCGATCCTGCCCTGCTGGCAGCTGTTGAACGGTGTGAGCTCTAAGTCAGACTGGCCGCATGGGAAGGTCCCGGTTATGCGGTTCCAAATGCGTGATGAAGAAAGCTGGAGCACCCGTTGGAGGTCTGCGGGGCTCCAAGCCAAGCGTTCAGGTACGAATAGAGCTGCCCTGTTAAAGCCATTCTGGCCTCTGGAGCCTGGAAGTGACCATAGGTTATCTTGGCAGGCCAGTTGTCCCAGCAGGTGGACTTTTCCAGCCTCAATCATAGTTTTGTGACAATTTGTACACCTCCACTCCCAAGTCCCCAGAGTTCAGCTGAGACTCAACTCACTTTGTGACTTTGCTCTGGACTCGTTCCATCAGGTCCAGGTCCTTCTTGTGTTGGTGACCCCAGAGCTGAATGCAGAACTCCATGTGGGGTCCCATCAGAGTAGAGCAGAGAGACAGACTCCCCTGCTGGTCACACTTCCTTTGATGCAGCCCGGGATACATTTGGCATTCTGGGCTGTGAGTGCATATTGCTGGCTCATGTCCAGCTTTTCATACACCAGCACTCCCAGGTCCTTCTCCTCAGGGCTGCTCTCAATTCAATCTCTACCACGCTCTGTAGGCTTCCTTTTCGTGTTTGAGTTTGTCCAGGAGCCCCTTGTTCATCCACAAAGGCCTCCTGGTGTTAATGTTAGTAACATACTACTAGCACGAAGACAGGTAGAATTTCCCTAGGAGTTATGTGACCAGAACGATTAAACTCAAGCAAATGACCACCAGGAATTTTGGTCTTTAGTTTTACTTTGCTTAATATTGTTCAATCACTTCGAAAACAAAGGAGGAAACTCCAAGTAAGAGCCAAAAGGACCAAACACTGGTCATATGCACAGGACAGATTGGGAAGGCAGACAGCAATGTGGGAAGGAGTAATATAGTGGTGTTACTGATGTAGCTGATCAGATAAAGGAGAATGCTTAGGGGGAAATCTAGAAATATGTAGATTACTGTGAATTAATAACAGTCATTTGACAAATACTAAAATAATGAGAGAAATTTGCCATATTCCACCTGTTCAGATAGAGCTACTGGGCTGTGAAATGACAGATCATATTAAAGCGCCAGGCAAAAAGGCTTAATGAGGGATTTTGATTGCTGAGACATGAGCCAAACTCTGGAGTTGGTGACCTGGTTGAAGCTAGTGGGAGGGTGAGTCGCTGGAGGGATCCTGGGTTCAGCTGGAGGGTCTGAGGCTGGACAGTCCTGAGTGCACTGCTTCTTTTGTGATCTTAGAAAGGATGACTTGGGATTGATGTTTCCAATGAAATCAGTTTGGAAGGATCGTTTTGAAAAATTTCATCTAGGAAACTAGGTAGCAATTAGACATGGAATTAATTTCAGGTTTTCAGGTTTTTTTCAACAAAACCATTAAAAATATTCCAATAAGCATTTCTGTGTAGGCCAAAAATGTTTCTGACAAGTCCCCCTTAGGTGGGGACACAAGAGTCTGGGTTTATAGTGTGGAGCTCATGGGCCAGGCAACATCTAGCCTTGTTTCCATCACCTCCTTTCCAGGCTGGACAGAGCTTGTGGCTGTGCGGTGCCTGTGGCCAGCATCAGGCTTTGGCTGGGTGAGAGCTGACCATGCTGCTGTGGGAGAATAGAAATCATGCAGCTGATATCCAAACCCTGTGGTTGATTGTAGACCCCTGCCCCAA